ACTATCATGATTAATACTACTATTACGACTACTACTACCACGGTGACCACTACTACTACACATACGACTGCCACGACGGCTCCGACTACTACGACTACGACTGCAACCTGCTACTACTACTATTATTACTACTACTACTACTACCACCACCACTACTACTACTACCACTAGTACTACTACTACTACTACTACTACTACTACTACTACTACGACTACTACTACTACTACTACTACTACTACTACTACTACTACGACCACTGCGACTACTACTACTACTACTACTACTGCTACTACTGCTACGACTACTACTACTACTACTACTACTACTACCACTACTACGACGACGACGACGACGGCGACGACGACGACGAAGACTAACTACTACGACTACCACCATGAATACTATTACAACAACTACTACTACTACTACTACTACTACTACTACTGCTGCTACTACTACTACTACCACGACTACTAAGACTACTACGACTACTACGACTACTACGACGACTACTACTACTACTACTACTACTACTACTACGACTACGACTACTACTACTACTTACTACTACTACTACTACTACTACTACTACTACTACTACTACTACTACTACTACTATTGCTACTACTACTACTACTACTACTACTACTACTACTACCACTCCTACTACGACTACTACTACTGCTACTACTACTACTACTACTACTACTACTACTACTACTACTACTACTACTTCTCGTCGTCCCTAGCGCCCTAGGCTAGCACGCCCTACCGCCAGTACTTCCTAGGGCTAGCACTCCTCAGCGCCTGTACTTCCTAGCACTCCCTCGGACTAGCACTCCCTAGGACTAGTATTGTAGTGGCCTTCGGCCAGTGCCGCCGATCCGGGGCGCTTCGACTGATGTGATCCTCCTTCGCCCTCGTCCCTCCTCTCTTTTCCGTTCTTTCCCCCTTTCATTCCGCATTTATCGAAGACGCCTACGGCGAATCACCGCCGCCCCCTGCCTTTTTGGAAGCGCCTATGTGGCCGAACGTTGAGGCCAGACCTGCCAAGCTATCGGACCACGTGTTCCCCGAATCGGTTTGGAAAGCCTTCGGGGAACACGTGGGCATCTTGAAGGTCATCTTGGCCGTCTTGGAGGCCTCTTGGGCAAGCTTTGGGCGATCTTTGGGGCTTTTTGGGCCGTCTCGGGCCAGCTTCGAGCCAACTTCGGCCATCTTGGTGGGTTCCTGGCACGTCTGAAGCCGTCGGAAGCCGTTTTGGGGGCCTCTATGGGCCGACTTGGGGCCCGCTTGGAATGCTCCAGGGCCGTCTTGGAGGCCATCTTGGGCGTCTGGGAGGCCATCTTGGGCGTGTTGGAGGCCTCTTGGGCCCTCTTGGGGCCCTCTAGGGGCCATCTTGGAGGCCACTTGGGCCATCATGGGGCTCTCTTGGGGGCCTCTTGGGCGATCTTGGGGGCTTCTTGGGCCGTCTCGAGCCGTCGGAGAGCCGAAAAGGCGCAAATGCCAGAATCCTTCAAAAACCAAGGAAAAATCAATGATTTTGGCCTCTTCGGACTCTCCTGGAGGACCTCTTGGAGGCCTCTTGGGCCGTCTGGGAGGCCTCTGGGGGGCCTCTTGGGCCGTCTTGGGCCGTCTTGGACTCTCTTGGGCCGTTTTGGAGGCCGTCTTGGACCATCTCGGGCGGACTTGGAGGCCATCTTGGGCCATCTTCGCGATTTTTTGAGGATGTCCCGAGCGAAACGGCCGTTTTTTGGAGGATTTTTTCCGGTCGTTGAGCACCTTCCGGGTGGCCGGCGGGTTCTGCCGGAGCCCACTGGGGAGTTCTTTTGGAAAAAGAACCAAAACCAAAACCTGACAGCTCGTCCAGCACGCCGTGCACCCCTGCAAGCAGGGGGCGGCGGATCCAGTGGCCTTCGGCCTATCCCACCACCGTGCGTGGGTGGTGGGTCAGAGGCCTCATGGACGCTGATAGGGATATCGTGGTTGGCCGGGACCTCTGGGGGCCTCTTGGAGGCCTCTTGGGGCTTCTTGGGGGCCTCTTGGGCCTCTTGGGGCCACTTGGGGGCCTCTTGGGGGTCTCTTGGGAGTCTCTTGGGGCTTCTTGGGGGCCTCTTCTGGGCCCCTTGGGGCCTCTTGGAGGCTTCTTCGGAGCCTCTTGGTGGGGGAGGGGTGGCACTCGAGTTCGGAACCCCCTCGGAGGCCACGATCCTTGTGAGGGGTGTCAAAAAACGCATCCGCCGGAAACTCGCACCCCCCCCCCCCACCCCACCCCCCTTCCCCGGCAGAGCCACCCCGGCAACCCCCCCGGAGGCTGAGGCTCAGCCTCGAGGCTGTAGCTGAGACTCCTTGTAACTCACACGCCGGATCGGCGGATTAGGGTTGGTATTCCGTAGTGCGAGTACTCCCAGGGACCTAGGACGAGTACTCCCGTGGACGAGTACGCCCTAGGGGTAGTAATTCCCAGGACTGGTACTCCTTGGGGCTAGCAGTCCCTGCGGCTAGTACTCCGTAGGACTAGTACTCCCTATGGATGAAATTACCAAACACCAACACTACAGCACCATAGTACTACCACACTACAGCAACACTACCACAATACCAGTACCACAACACCACAACACCGCTACCACAACACCACAACACCGCTACCACAATACCACAACCACAACACCACAACACCGCTAGCACAACACCAAACCACAGCACCACTGCCACTACCACAACACCACTACCTACGAACAACTCAACAACACTACCAACACCACACCACTAACACAACACTACCAACACCAGGCCACTAATACAGCACACCACTACCAACACCACACCACTAACACAGCATACAGCACAACCAGCCACTACCAACACTACACCACTAACACGACATTACCAACACCACACCACTAACACAGCACAGCGACCACCACACCACTAACACAGCACTACTACCACGTGGGTTCCAGGTGGGAGTTACTGTGGCCACTTTTGCCTGCGCGGGAGTGCATTCCCTTAAGGGTTGCGAATCTTTCCAGATCTAGCATGAGATACCTTTACATATTACTTCTCATTGAGCGGCCTGCGCGGGCCACAGTAACTCCCATCCCGCCGCGCGACGGGCCACACTAACACCCAACGGGCCACACTAACACCCAACGGGCCACAGTAACAACCGGTCGCCCCCCCACCTGACAGTCGACGGCAGCAGCAGCGCGGCCTCCCAGCGCCCTCGCAGGCAGTACCGCCAGCTCATTGCGGAGATGTACGCCTACTCGCTGGCCCCGGCCTTTGCCGCCGCCGCGAGGGGCCCGCCACGGCCACGGTACCTCCCAGATTTCGTATGGACCTCTCTTCCATCTTCGGTCCGCTACATGCCCCCCCTCCTCGTCCGCGCACACGCTTCCGGCCATGATGCGCTGACCCCCCTTTTCGGCGCACCCGAAGATAGACCACGGGACACGCAAATTTAGGGCGACCCTCTTTTGAAGCCTTGAAGGCCCCACGGCGCGCAATGGATGAAGCGCAAAGGCAGGGGTGCTGAGCCAGCCCAGGGCAGCCAAACATCCAGGGCGTGCCAGACAAGGACGGGCGAGGCCAGACGGGGCACAGGAGAGCAGCAGAAGACTGGGCAGAGAGCAGAAGTGAACTCTTGCGAGGCCTAGTTACGCGGATGGTGACGACAGTGGGGAGCAGCAGGTAAAGGGACAGTCAGCAGTCAACATCAGCCGCTCAGCTGGGCCTCTCAGACAAGCCACGGCACGGACGATGCTCTGTCTGGGGAGCCCAGGCCCTCGCCTCCATCGACGTGCGCCACGCGCTCTTCGACCACTTCGTCGTGAGCTACCCGAACGCACCAGTCGGCGAGCAGGCAGCTCCCGCGGCGGGCTTCGGGGCGCACGGACACAGCGCAGCAAAGTTGGCGCTGTTGGCCCCAAGCAAGTGTTGTACTTGCCTGTTTTCTGAGCCCTCCGGCCGCCTGAGGCCCCGCCCGCCCGCGCCCTGTCTCCCCAATTAGGGCTACCCGCGTCCCGTTTAGCTCTTGACCGGAAGGGGCCCGCTCCCGACCCGCAGACCAAAAAAGTGCTGTACTTGCACTCTTCTTACGTGCTGCAGCAGCGTTCGAAGCGCCTTCGCGTGGGGGTCCGGCCGCGCGCGTCCTCCCCGCCGCTCGACGTTCCCCGCCTCGTCGCCGCGCGCGAGGCCGCAAAGGACGGATGGAAGGGGGAGGGGGAAGCCTGGAGCACGAGAGCATTTCGCCAGAGTGGGGATAGGAGCAGAAAGCACGTGTCAGAACCAGCCGGGCAGATCCTAGCAGGCGGGTCGGGAAGGCGGGCCCAGGTCGGCCAGGTCGAGCGGGCGGGTTGCTGAAGCGTGGGTGTCGCATGAACCGCAAGGACGTCTCGAGCGATAGCGCGATTCCTAAGTATGTCGTCAGACAGGCCAAAGCGAGAGCATGATTCCTAAGTGTCGAGGCGCGGCGTCTGGGTAAATTGCGAGGAAGTCCACACGAGAGTGCGATTCCAGCATGAATTGTGAGGCAGTCCCGCGCGAGAGCGCGATTTAAGAATACATTGAAGGAAGTATCAGGCGGGAGCTGTTGTTGTAAACCGGTGGCCAGGTGCACAGTTCTGTGACACTCCAGTTTCCCTTGTAAAAGCAGGGTGCGAGCCCCGGGATCAGCACATTAAATACAATGATTACCAGAGGGGGGTCAACAACAGTTATTTGCTAAATGAGGACACAATAACAACAGCAACACCAACCACAACAACCACCACCACCACCTAAACCACCACCACAACAACAACGACAAAAACAGCAACAAACATTTTCAGACTGTTCGCTTTTTTCTGCTCGCGTACTACTCAACACGTGTATCCCAAACCCTCGATACCCGTCCTCTTCGTCTTCGATCGTATCCCCCCTGGGCGACCTTTGTTTGTATGGTTACGACCAGATTTCTTTTGGTGGATTGTATGATGATACCTGGTGTATTTCCATTACCGAATGCCACGCCCATTGTGTCCTTATTGCAGGCGGGGGAAGAGGGACATGGAGAAATCCCGAATGTATCCTCGTTGTATTCGCATTGTTTCCAATTGTGTTCCTGTTGGTGGAGGAGGAAGGGCGAGGGAGAGATTCCGATTGCATTCCGATTGTGTTCCTATGGAGTTCTCGTATGAGAAGGAGAGAGGGAGGGGCGGAGGAATCCCAATTGCTTTCCTATCGCACTCTGGAAGAGGAGGGGGATGGAGTGGAGTTGTCGTCTTGTTTCTTATTGCATGTATATTGTATTTGCGATGGGGGAGGGAGGAAGGAAGATGAGGTAGGGCGGAGGAGGGGGAGGGTCAGCAGAAGCTTACCAGGAACACAGGAAACAAACACATGAAATAGCCGGTATGTTCATGTGGAACAGTAGAATATGTTTAATAAAAAACAAAAGGCGTCACATGGTGTGTCCTTTGTTAAAAACTCTGTGAGCGCCAAGGTGTTTTTCTGTTTTTCAGTTTTTTCGATTTTCTTGCTAAGCTTCCACGCCCCCTTTCTTTCCTCCGCCCTTCCTCTCCTCCTCGCTCCCTCTCCTTTCTAATGCAAACGCAATAGGGTTGCAATATAACATATGGTCTTGATAAGTTTCCCCCCTCCCCTCCCTTCCCCACCCTCCCTCCTGCTCTCTCCCTCTCCTTCGCAATGGAATCGCCATAGGATTGCAATAAGAGAGCAATAGGGCCTCCTCACCGCCCTCCCCCCTTCCGTCTCGACCGATAGGAATGCAATCGACAGCAGCGCGAACACGAAAAAGCACTGATTGTAATCGCGCAAATGAAGGGTCCCCCCCCCTTTCGGGGGGATATCGTCCCTACCTGCTGGGTGTAGTTGGCGCAGCCGCTGAAACAGGGGACGAAAGGGAGGAGGGACGAGACGAAGGAGCGGGAGAAGGATGGAGCACGAGATAGGTTTGCGGGAGGGGGGTTGGAAACATAAGTGCAAACGGCAGAACCAGACGGGCGGGCTGGGCGGGCAGACCTTGACAGGCAGGTCGGGCGGGCGGGCCCAGACGGCTGGGTCGAGCGGGCGGGTCGCGGAAGCGTCAACCCCACATGAATCGCAATGAAGCTTCGAGCGATAGCGCGATTCCCAAGTAAATTGTCAGGAAATCCAAAGCGAAAGCATGATTCCTGAGTCTCAGGGGCACGGCGCCGCAATAAATTGTGAGGAATTACCGCGCGAGAGTAAGATTTCTGCGTACATCCTGAGGACGTCCAGCATGAGAGCGCGATTTTGAAACACATTGTGAGGAAATATCAGGCGGGAGCCGTTGTCCTTGTTGCTGTTGTTGCAAATCGGGAGCAACAGCGCAGTTTGAGGACCAAGGTTTTCCCGGATAGAAAACAGGGTCGAGCTCAGGGAGGGGCGCTTTGATTGAAAACACTAGGTGTCCCCGATTGAGGAGATCAACGTTTATCATTTTCAGAGAATCGACGCCAAATACCAGCGACGACGACGACACCACCAACAACAAACATAGCAGAAACCGAATTTCCTGGTCGTTCGGCCGGCCCGGGCGGCGGCAGACGCGCAGACGGAAGCAGCATAGGACCATGGATCGGGACACCCTGTTTCCCTGAGCACGACAAATGTTTTTGTTGTAGATGGTGAGGAGATCGCTCGCCAGCACCGCCTGGTCCCCCATGGAAGAAGCCAATCCAAGCAACATCCTGTTCAACCAGGGGAGGGGGGAGAGGGAGGAGGATGCTGATGGGACTCCAGTCGGGTCAGCGAGCGTGAGCCCGTCCACGACGTCCTATTTCCCTGAGCGTCCCACCCTCCACGGCGGGAAGTTGCGGTCGGGCCCCGTCCAGGAAAAGGAGCAGTCGTCGGCAGCCGACCTCTGCCGGCGTCGCACTCCCTCCGAGCAGGCGGCAGAGCACCCTTCGGCGCGCACGTGAGCGCAGCCGAGCCAAGGAAGGCAAGCTGCGGGCGCCGGGCGCACGTGAGCGCAGCCGAGCCACGGAAGACAAGCTGCGGGCGCCAGGCGAGGTTGTCTCAACATACGTGGACCACTAGTAGGGGAGGAGGAGGAAGAGGAGGAGGAGGAGGAGGAGGAGGAAGAGAGGGAGGAAGGTGCGCTCCGCATCAAGCACGCACGTGTACCTCGGCTGCTTCAAGGTATGCGTCTGGGCGGTGGCTCGGCGCCTAGCCCACCTGAGCGCTTGTAAAGCGAGCGACGGCGGACCAGTAGACGGCGAGAGCAAGGCGAGGACCGCGGGCGCCCTGGCGAGCCCAGCACGCACACACACAGACACACACAGACACACACAGACACACAGACACACAGACACACACACACACATACACATACACACACACACACACACACACACACACACACACACACACACACACACACACACACACACGCGCTTTTCGGCCGCGCGCAGCTGTGGCAGGAAGCCACACGAGGGCTCAAAGTCGCGCGCCCGTCGAAGCGAACTACCGTGAGATCCTGGCGTCTCGATTCCAGGCGTTTTCGCCCGGATTCGGGCCCCATAACCATCACAGATCGATCCGGCTCGAAAAATGGCGCACAACGATGGAGTGTACGGCTCCGGTGGAGTTTGTCGCGATGCCTCACTTCCTTCGGGCCGTCGGATCTCAGGGCAACGACAGGCCAGTGAAGCTCTCAGGGGCGCCCTGGGAGCTGGAAAAGGACGGTGGGGCCCTTGGCATCGCCCAGACGTGTGCGTTTTCTCTAAGGGAACGAATAATGACATACAAATAAAAACTCGGAGGTCCGCGCGGATTTCTCGGATCGGCGCTGGACCCCCCTTGGCGGCGCCTCCGGCGCCGTCACGCGGACCCCTCTGAGTTATTTCATGTTTGTGTCATGATTCGCTCCCCTACTCTCGGCGAGGAGCATCGAAGAGCACCCTGCATCATCGAGCATCAGAGCGCACGCGCGCAAGCGAAAAAATGCGCACGGGGGGTGGACGTCCGAGCGGCGGCGAGGGGCAGTGGCGGGGGACGGCGGGCAGCGGGCAGCGGCGCGGAGCGGCGGGCAGCGGCGCCGGACGGGCGCGGGCGGGAGGGGCCCCGCAGGCGGCGGCGGGCAGCGGACGTCGGGCAGCGGCGGGGTCAGCAGCGGGGCGGCGCCAGTCGGGGGCAGCCGGAGCGGGAGGGCGACGAAGATCAGATGCACACCTTTAGCCGACCCGATGCGCCCGTTCAGAAGCGCAACACGTACCGTGTTCAGAGCGTCCTTGTCAACACGTTGCGTGTTGGCTCGCTGTGTTGGCCCACGTTTCGGGGAACGTCTTGGAGCCAGACCTACGTGTTAAGTCTGCGTGTTGAGCTCGGTGTCAACACGTTACGGATTGCGTGTTGCGTATCGGGTAGCTTGCGTATCGGATAGCTAAGCACCGAAACGCACACACACACACACACACACACACACACACGTATGCACACACATACCCACACATTTGTTCTCCGACGCTCTGAGGAGACCAGTCAGCAGTATAAGCAATAGGGGGGCACTTTCAGAGGTGATCACATACACGCACGCAGTTTGACGCGCACGCTTGCGTTTTTTTTTTTGTTTATCTTGGGCACCTTGCGCCCTGCTTGGTCGCGTAAACCACGTGCCACATGTTTTCACGATGTGACATCCCAGCGAAAGACGTATCACTGCCGACCCGTGATACGCACGGCCTTGTTTAACAGTTTGAAGGGGATGGACATCGTGTACACGCGCAGGCCTAGCTGGCATCGGTGGCAAGCGTACACAGAGGCAGACGCAGTGTCATACAATCGTAGTTGTCTCAGGCCTCGGTGTCTACAGCGGAGATCTAGTGGCAGTGGACCTAGTAAGGCCCGCCGTAAATACCAGGGTGCGTTTGCACGTGTTCATCCCAGGTCAGCCCGCACGTACACACGCACTGAAACAGAGAGGCAAGTACACACACGAATGCGTGCCATGAACTATCAGAACCGACGGAACCGTCATCGTTCATTTCGCTACCATTCGCCCGCACTTCCAAAACACCTACATGCTGTGCTCCCGAGTTGGGCATCATGTTGCCCAAGTATATTGTTTGTCATTGAGGCGCGTCCTTTGGCGCTCCGTATTTCCAGCATCTTCCTTTGGGCGGTCTGTGGTTGATTTCTCATGTGTTGAAGGCCCCTCTGTGTTGGCGCCACAGCCATGGCATCCTGACTAGTTGCCTGGAGTCGCCACGCGTCGCTTGCCATGCGAGTTGCGTCGCAGGACGGTCAACGGCCCCCTACTGACGGCATCGGTGAATGAGGCAGCAGGGTTCCGCATTTCTCCGCGCCGGTTTCTCCCGCCGGATGTTTACCTTGTGTTTACGACGCAGTGTCGCGGCGTAGGACGTTCCAGGGCTACTCCCTTGTTGCGCAGCCTCTCCGCCCAGGCATGGCCTTGGATCGACGCCTCTGACTCCGACGTCTGTGGCCTGGCTCCAGATCCAGCTGGCAGCAGGGGGGGGAGCGCGGCCGAACGCGTGGTTTGAGTCGGTGCTCTTTGCGCGTGGAAAGCCGAAGGGTCGCCCAGAGGTGTCCAAGCAGCGCACGAGGGATCCCAGGGTGAAGAATCGGAGAAGCGGGGGCAGCTCAGGGAATTTAAGTTCAGGGAGGAGCGAAGGGGCGGGGGGAGGTGGAGGGAAGTAGAGGGTGGGATTGGAGGAGTGCGAGAAGGATGCTTCAACATACCATTGATGGGTTGTCTTGTCGAACTGTGCTCGAGAGGCAGCAGGTGAGTTGTCTGTTTGCGCTGCCAAGTTTCTGCTGCCAATGAAACTTGTTATATTAAGGCTGGTCAGTAGAAGGCTCCCAGCCACAGAAACATTTTGTATAGGGAACCTGATCAGTAGAAGGTTCCCAGGCACCCGCTTTACATCGCAAGCCGCTGTAGACTCCGCTGCACAAATAAACATAGTTTTCCACATCGATGTTCATGTTCGTCTGCTCCCCCTCTTCGCCCACATACAATTCACTCTCATATCACCACCCCTCCTCCCTTGTTTCCTTCGCCTTGTTTCTCCTCCTTGCCCTCATCTTCTTTCCAGCTGGGAGCAACATCGATATGCTGAAAGCGAGGAGCATGGATGGGAGCACGAAGAGGAAGAGGAGGAGGAGAACGAGGAGGAGAAGGAGGAGGAAATGGAGGAAGGGGAGGATGAACAGGAGGCGGAGGAGGAGTCACGCCTCAACCTGGGCCTCTTGTTTCTTCTGTGCATCCTCCTCTCATTATGTTCGTCCTCCTTCTATCGCGTGCGCTCCCCATCCTCATCCACATCATTATGTACCCCGGCTTCGTCTTCCCATAAACGAAACAGGAGTGAAGAGAAAAAGGGAGGAGAAGGAGGAGGAGGAGCGATACCAATACAATGATGATGATTATGATGATGATGCTGATGCTGATGATGATGATGCTGATGCTGATGCTGATGCTGATGCTGATGATGATGGTGATGATGATGATGGTGATGATGATGGTGATGGTGATGGTGATGGTGATGGTGATGGTGATGGTGATGGTGATGGTGATGGTGATGGTGATGGTGATGGTGATGGTGGTGATGATGATGAGGATGAGGATGAGGGTGAGGATGAGGGGGAGGAGAAGTGATTGGAGGAGGGGGAGGAGGACGAGGGGTGGAAGGAGGAGGAAGAGACGGATGAGGAGGCGCGGCCCTTCAATTTCTTCCTCTTTTTAAGAAGGATGGGGCGAGGGAAGAGAGCGAGACGAAGGATGCATGGAGGATTCTGAGGATGAGGATGACGAGAACCGTGGAGGATGAACGGGGGGGGCGTGCAGATCGGCAGCATGACGATGAGGAGGGCGATGGGTGCGCGTGCACTTGAATGACGTAAAGGAGCGTCCTTGTCGTGTTCTCGAGGCTCGCGCCCCTCCTTGGACCCCTTCGCCCGCGCGCACGGCGCGTCGATAACTGCGCCCCGGTCCTGTGCGGGGCACGCGTCTGGATCCTCTGCTCTGTGCTCGCTTTGCTCGGGCGTGGTTCGGTCTTGCTCCTCGGTCGGCTCTCTGCAGCTGCTCCCCTTTTTGGCTCAGACGTGCCTCTCTGCGACCTGCGGCCTGGAGTCGCATGCAGCCGGGGGGGCCTGTCTGGCTTCCTGAGCGGCCCTCTCACCGCCGTCGTGGTCTCGATTGGCCTGCGCGGGCAGCCTACACCTTAGGCGGTGCTTAAGAAAACTTAAGTTTTCGGCCAGAGTCTCGATTATTCTTAACGTTTCAATGTAAATCCTAAGTTTTTAATAGAAATGTTGGGTTTTTATTCAAGATCTGAGACTCTGAATTTCTTAACCCATGATTTCTTAAGCATTTCGCAGGGTGTAGCTGCCCACCTGGGTCGCCGTGTCCTGACCCACCGAGCCGTGAGCGCAGCTGCCCAGGGGGCCCTCCACCGCCGGTTTTGGGCGCCACCGAGGTGCCCAGAGCTGGTGCCGTGCCCGACGTGCCCAGAGGCGACGTTGGGCTGGTGGCCGCTATCAGCATTTTAAGCTCCTCCTCCTCCTCCTCCTCCTCCTCCTCCTCCTCCTCCTCCTCCATCTTCCTCCTCCTCCTCCTCCTCCTCCTCCTCCTGCTCCTCCTGAGACGCTGAGACGCTGATGGCACTGTCCAAGCCACGGCAGCTGGCTTACGGAGTCTGGGTGTGCGCGTCTTGGGCCGTACTCGTTCCAGCCATGGCGCTCGTTGGTCACGACGCGGGGGGGGCATGCTTGGGGCGCCTCCTTCCACTAGACATGTCTTGGTGTGGTACGATGCCGATGACGTTTACCATGAACGCAGTGCGGTGTGGCCCCAGACACGCGAGAAGTGGGCCGTTCTGACCCCAGATCTGGATATGCATGCGAAGGTGTTGGACGGCAGCGATGGGTCTGACGGCGTGACACGGATCCTGGACCTCCGACCGGGCGGAAGGCTACCGATTTTGGACGCGCCACCGTATCGGTTCACGTCTCTTGTCAGCTTTGACGACCTTGAGGGGTGCATTCGCGAGGGCTGCCGCCTGGCTCTGCAGGAGGGAGCGGCCGCCGGGAACCCGCCGATCGAGATGCTGGATGGCGCGATGCCCGATTAAGAAGTAGTGCCGCTCGACAGCATGTTCGGCGGCCAATTCCTGCCGAGGCGTCTCCCTCTGCGCCGTGGTGCGGCGCCGGCGGCGGCCCGCGGTGACTCGCCCAGCGACGCCGCTGCCGGGGTTGCGCCTCGCGCTGACGGCGGGGCGTCACCGGCGGCGGCGGGCCCGGCCGAAGAGGAGTGGTGTAGGATGACGATTCATAAATGACGGGGGGTCGCGTTGCGTCGGCGGCGGCGCCCCTGAGGAAGATTAGAAAGAACCGGCCGCGGGCTGGCAGACTGTTTTTAATCGTTCTCGCTCTGTCGTCCTCGGGCGCGCGTGAGATTGAGTTTTCATTGTGATACGTAAATCCGACGTGGATTGCGCATGTGGCGTAAAAATTGGATCCGACAGCAAATGATCATTATACATAATGTATGAAGCCGACGCGGGACGAGCATTTGACGAAAATGTTTGAGGCCGACGTAGACTTGGCATGTGACGTAACATTTGAAGTCGACGCCGAATGATTATTTAACGTAAAATCCGACGACGGCGCGACATGAACATCTGACGCAAGATTCGAAGCCGGCGCGCAATAGACATATGATTTAATCGTCCTCTTCCCGTTGAGAAATCGTATAAAAAATCAAAGAAACTATGTTTCTAATCGTTCCCTTTTCTCTATGTGTGTGTGTGTTTGTGTTTGTGTTTGTGTTTGTGTTTGTGTTTGTGTTGTGTGTTGTGTGTTGTGTGTTGTGTGTTGTGTGTTGTGTGTTGTGTGTTGTGTGTTGTGTGTTGTGTGTTGTGTGTTGTGTGTTGTGTGTTGTGTGTTGTGTGTTGTGTGTTGTGTGTTGTGTGTTGTGTGTTGTGTGTTGTGTGTGTGTGTGTTTGTGTGTTGTGTGTTGTGTGTTGTGTGTTGTGTGTTGTGTGTTGTGTGTTGTGTGTTGTGTGTTGTGTGTTGTGTGTTGTGTGTTGTGTGTTGTGTGTTGTGTGTTGTGTGTTGTGTGTTGTGTGTGTGTGTGTGTGTGTGTTGTGTGTGTGTTGTGTGTGTGTGTGTTGTGTGTTGTGTGTTGTGTGTTGTGTGTTGTGTGTTGTGTGTTGTGTGTTGTGTGTTGTGTGTTGTGTGTTGTGTGTTGTGTGTGTGTGTGTGTGTGTGTGTGTGTGTTGTGTGTTGTGTGTTGTGTGTTGTGTGTTGTGTGTTGTGTGTTGTGTGTTGTGTGTTGTGTGTTGTGTGTTGTGTGTTGTGCGTTGTGTGTTGTGTGTTATGTGTTGTGTGTTGTGTGTTGTGTGTTGTGTGTTGTGTGTGTGTCCCTGGGGGGCAGGCCTGGGGCCCACAAACAGCTGCCCCGACCCCCCATGGGGGGACGGGGCGGCCGGGGAAGTCCAAAATAGTTCAGGAGGGCCTCCAGAGGCTCCCCAGACAGCCCAAGCGGGCCCCGAGTCGCCCAAGACGGCCCGAGAAACCTGGACGCCCAAGATAGGCCCAAGACGGCCCGAGAAACCTTCCCAAGGCATTCCACGACGCTTCAAGACGCTTCTCCCGGGCGTGTCGAGAGACCAAAATCGTCAATTTTCGTTGGTTTTGGACAGATTTCGGCCTTCCAGCCTTTTCGGCTGTCCAGCGTTCCAGGCCGGCTCCATAATTAGGCCCCCAAGAACGCCCCAAGACGGCCCGAGAGGGCCCATAGACGGCCCCAGAGGCGCCCCAGAGAGCCCCAAGACGGCCCCAAGATGCGCCGAAGAGGGGGACCACGACTCCAAATTTCGACCCTCCCGTTTGAAGAGTGCCCCAGGAGGCCCCAAGGAGCCCCCCAGAGGCCCCAGGATGCCCCCGAGAGGCACCCAGGAGACCCAAACAAGGCCTCAAGAGGCCACAAAACAGCCCCGAGGAGGTTCCACAACGGTTTCAACATGGCTACCAAGAAGCTGCGAAATTGCCTTCACGACATCCCCGAGAGGCCAACCACGAGATCCAAACCAACACCCATGAGGCCTCTGACCCACCACCTAGGGCACCCGCCGCCCGCCCGCCGTCCGCGTGGCACGCACCACTCTGCACTCCACAGCTTCAGTCTCCAAGACAACACCCTGTAGTCAACAGCCCCCGTCTTCAAGGCAACACCCTGTGCTCAACAAGCTCCCGCTGCAAGAGAGCACCCTTAAGGAATTCATGCAAACCCCGACCCGCCCGCCCGCCGCCCGCCCGGCCGCTCGCCCGCCTTCCGCGTAGCACGCGCCACCCTGCACTCAACAGCCTCCGCCTCCAAGACACCACCTAGCATTCAACAGCCGCCCCCAGGGCTCCCGGGACTGCCCAGGCCCACTCCCAAACACGCCACGACACGCCAAGAGGGCCCTAAAGATTGCCAAGACAGCCCCAAGAGGCCCCGGACACGCCGAAGATGGCCTTAGGACGGCCGACGACGCCGCCAAAACGTCCCAAGAGCGCCTCCAGAGGCCCTTCCAAAGGGCCGGGCATTTTTTCGCTCTCGCATGTTCCGCCTCCCCACGGTCCCGGACGGCGTCAGAGGCCCTTCAGATCGCTCCAAGACGGCCGAAGAGGCTCCCAAGGAAAGACCAGAGCCGGCCCAGGAGGCTCCCCAGATAATTCAAGAGGGCCTCGAGAGCGGCCCAGAGAGCCCCAAGAGCGACCCAACAGAGCCCGAAGAGCGCGACATTTCAAGGTCTCCGGCCTGAGAGGCTCCTAGGACGCCCCCGGAGGCCATCAGGAGGCTCCCAAGAAGCCCAGTGAGGCTCCCAAGAGGCCCCCCAGAAGCCCCAATAAGCCCCCAAGGGCCCCCCCAGGGAAGCCCCCTGCGGGCCCCCAGTAGACCTCGGTAAATCATATTTCCCAGAACTCTCCGGGAGCGTGATTCCTTGGCCTTCCGCCCACCGCCCCAACCATGTTTCCAATAGGCTTGCCGACAAAGCCAAAAAGGGCCCCTCGGTAAGCCCCCAGAGCCCCCCTCGTAAGAGAGCCGAACAAATCATGCTCCCGGAAAGCTTCCCGGGAACATGATTCTCGGGTTGCCGCCCTCTCCCCAAACCATGTTTATAAATGCCTGCCAGGATAAATTAGCCTGGCGAAGAACCCAACCATATGCAGTTGTCAGTACCGCAGCTGCGGGTTTCATCTTCAGTGGAACTCCCCATAGGACTACGGAACGTCACGACGTGTGAGGGGTGTGCCGAGATGGGTGCCACTGGGGCATTCGGCGAAGCTCCCTATGGGGACATGAAACACGCGCGGGGCGTGCCGACATGGGTGGCGGAAACGCATGTGAGGGCCGCCAGTGGGGCCTCACATGATGCTGCTGCGGGGGGGGTGCCGGGATGGGTGGCGGAGCCGCATGTAAGCGCCGCTACTGGGGCCTTCGGTGGAGCTCCCTATGGGGCCACGAAGCGCGTGAGGGGTGTACTGGGATGTGCGGCGGGGACGCATGTGAGCGCCGCCACTGGGGCCTTCGGCGGAGCTCCCTATGGGGCCACGAAACGTGTGAGGGGTGTGCCGAATTGGGTGCGGGTGGTGACGCATGCGGGCGGTGCCACTGGGGCCTTCGGTGGAGCTCCCTATGGGGCCACGAAACCTGTTGTTGTGAGGGGCGTGCCGGGATGGGTGGCGGGGACGCATGTGACCGCGGCCGCTGGGGCCTTCGGTGGAGCTCCCCATGGGGCCACGAAACGTGTGAGGGGTGTGCCGAGTTGGGTGGGTGAGGGTGGCGCATGTGAGCGCCGCCACTGGGGCCTCCGGTGGATGATGGGGCCACGAAACCTGTGAGGGATGTGCCGAAATGGGTGTGCGGGACGCATGCGCATGTGAGCGCCGCCACTGGGGCCTTCGGTGGAGCTCCCTATGGGGCCACGAAACGTGTGAGGGGTGTGCCGAATGGGTGTGCGGGACGCATGCGGGCGGCAGCACTGGGGCCTTCGGTGGAGCTCCCTATGGGGCCACGAAACGTGTGAGGGGTGTGCCGAATTGGGTGTGCGGGACGCATGCGGGCGGCAGCACTGGGAGCCTTCGGTGGGGCTCCCTATGGGGCCACGAAACGTGTGAGGGGTGTGCCGAATTGGGTGTGCGGGACGCATGCGGGCGGCAGCACTGGGGCCTTCGGTGGAGCTCCCTATGGGGCCACGAAACGTGTGAGGGGTGTGCCGAATTGGGTGTGCGGGACGCATGCGGGCGGCAGCACTGGGGCCTTCGGTGGAGCTCCCTATGGGGCCACGAAACGTGTGAGGGGTGTGCCGAATTGGGTGTGCGGGACGCATGCGGGCGGCAGCACTGGGGCCTTCGGTGGGGCTCCCTATGGGGCCACGAAACGTGTGAGGGGTGGGCCGAAATGGGTGTGCACGCATGCGGCGGCAGGGGCCTTCGGTGGGGCTCCCTATGGGGCCACGAAACGTGTGAGGGGTGTGCCGAATTGGGTGTGCGGGACGCATGCGGGCGGCAGCACTGGGGCCTTCGGTGGAGCTCCCTATGGGGCCACGAAACGTGTGAGGGGTGTGCCGAATTGGGCGTGCGTGACGCATGCGGGCGGCAGCACTGGGGCCTTCGGTGGAGCTCCCTATGGGGCCACGAAACGTGTGAGGGGTGTGCCGAATTGGGTGTGGTGACGCATGCGGGCGGCAGCACTGGGGCCTTCGGTGGAGCTCCCTATGGGGCCACGAAACGTGTGAGGGGTGTGCCGAATTGAATGTGCGTGACGCATGCAGGCGGCAGCACTGGGGCCTTCGGTGGGGCTCCCTTATGGGGCCACGAAACGTGTGAGGGGTGTGCCGAATTGAGTGTGCGTGACGCATGCGGGCGGCAGCACTGGGGCCTTCGGTGGGGCTCCCTATGGGGCCACGAAACGTGTGAGGGGTGTGCCGAATTGGGTGTGCGTGGCGCATGCGGGCGGCAGCACTGGGGCCCTCGGTGGGGCTCCCTATGGGGCCACGAAACGTGTGAGGGGTGTGCCGAAATGGAGGAGGGAGGAGGGAGGAGGAGGAAGAGAGGAGAGGAGGACAGGAGAGGAGAGGAGAGGAGGACGCGGGGACCGCCTCTTCAAAACGAGGACCCAACACCACAGGATGGTTGGGAATAAATTAGCCTGGCGAAGAACCCAACCATATGCAGTTGTCAGTACCGCAGCTGCGGGTTTCATCTTCAGTGGAACTCCCCATAGGACCACGGAACGTGTGAGGGGTGTGCCGAGATCGGTGCCACTGGGGCATTCGGTGAAGCTCCCTATGGGGACATGAAACACGCGCGGGGCGTGCCGACATGGGTGGCGGAAACGCATGTGAGGGCCTCCCTATGGGTTCCCGAAACATGATGCTGCTGCGGGGGGGGTGCCGGGATGGGTGGCGGAGCCGCATGTAAGCGCCGCTACTGGGGCCTTCGGTGGAGCTCCCT